TACTAAAGATTGACGATCGAACGTTTTTTAATTTTTAATAATTTCGAAAAATATAAACAAAAAACTGTAGAAATTTTTGGCATAAATTCGATACAAATAGCTGCCATTTTCATAATTCAAAAACAAATAGCTGCCATTTTCATAATTTTCACAAAAGTGAAAACATTGGATCGTCAATCCCTAGAGAATATTGTTCACTTTTGAACTTTTCTTGCAGCTGTCATCCTGAAATGCACCGATCGGCAATGTATGAAAAAGTTATGTAAAAGGATACCGTTAAAAAGTTAACTAAGAGCCCTCTGGCTTTCTATAGTTCATAATGTGTTAAAATAAACTATTACAAAAACTCGTGTCAATCAAATATGCAGTTTCTCTTTTACTAGCCCTCCAAAGTATACGTAATTTTTAGGTCCGCTCATACTGTCTCCATGAACTTCGTGTTTGAACGTTTGACCTGAATATTCGAGGACGAACCTGATGAGATCAATCGTAACGAAATAATAAAAATAAAATTCACGCAGAGAGTGTGAATATTCGTTCGATTGTCGTTTCGGAGATTGTCTTTTTTTTGTTCACTTTTCAAAAGGAGAAGCATATCGTCTTCGTTCGTCTCTGTATCTTTCCTCACCAAGCCCTCTTCAGAGATCGAAATTTATTTTCAAGTCACGAGCAGCGGTGATTTTCGCGCGCGGCCGCTGCCAAAATCGCATTAAAATCGGGCTACAGGCGTTCAAATCGTGTCATTAAAATGATGCATGGCCGACGTCCAAGAACCCTCTGTCTGCTCGCCCGTGCACAGACTTAAAATACGCTTCCACGATTCGTCGGATTTTTCATCGTTCGATAAAGATCGTCATTAAATACTTTTTTCTTTTTTTTTTTTTTTAGAATCTGACAAGTCTCTAAAAAAAAAAGAGTTCGTGTCTAAACACTGCTCGACGCAATTAACGAAGAACGCAACAGTCTCCTGGGTTGGAATAATTTATCCGCGTGAATGCGTCGACCTTGATGTCGCAGACAGATTCTCAGACCCGGCGAATTTGAATTCTCCGCTTCGTTGAGCGGCCGTATCAATTAATTTTATGGTAATTCCGGATATCTTTAGGGCGTACTATTTCTGTAACGATGAATAAAACAGCAACTGATCACGCTTCGTCGACTCGCTCGAGGCACAACTGTCCGCAATAGATCAAAAATTTTTTCAGATTTTTTCTTTTCAATATTTTGACCGACGATTCGAATCTCCGCAAAATTCTCTCCTACGTTTTCGTCCTACTCTCGCATCCAGCGAAGAGCGTAATTGTCGGTCGTTTCGACTGACAGAAGTTTATGAAAAAAGGTCTCGTTTTAAAGAGTGTAGCCTCTACTTTGATAGTCGCGAATTCGTTTGACAATTATTTTATAGTAGGTTAGGATAATTGATGATATTTCTCTCTCGGAAATTGTCAAAATTCGCAAAAATTCAATCATAGCCTTCAACACTGAAATCTTCTCTTCACATCTTAAAACTCGGATAAAATAGGATTTTTTTATACTATTTTATTGAATTTTGAACTTAGACGACGAAATGTTAGAATTTCTTAAATATTCAACGCCAAAAAAAAAAAAGAAATCTTACAGCGACTTTTTAGGCGGTAAACTTCAATCTTCGTAACGATGATGGATCCAGTTCACGAGAAAAATTTATTAACATTCTTATAGACGTTTGAATTCTGAGTACCCTTACTTTTCCACTCGCTACACAAAACAAAATCATTTTCAAGAAGACAAACTACGACCTTTCATTACAATACATTACCAAATGTTTAAATTGCCGGCGAAATTTTTCATTGTCATGCTCTTCGCCGTGCTTCTCAATGAAAATAAATAATTCATAGTAAATCACCGAAATTGACTTTACCTAGAAATTGCTAATTTAAAAATTCCGAGGATCTTTCGGGAAAGATCGGAGAATTAATTCGCGAGGATTAAATTAAATGCAGAGAGCGAACTTGAGAAGAAAAGAAATAAAAGAAAACCTAGGGAAATTTATTCGATGAATTCGTGCCCGACGTTGTACATAGCTCATCCATTTCATCTCGGTAAAATCAGCAGCCGGTTGCTGATGATCATAACTTTGAATATTATATGAAAGAGGCGGTGTCTGAAGTGGTGGTGGGACGAGTTGCCGAGGAATCATGAGCTGCACGGGCTAAGCTGGTTCCATCTTTCGGCGGGGGGAATTTTGTAGGAAATGAAAACCGGCGGGATATTTGTTCAAAGGATGCAGGTTGAAAGGGAGGGCATTAAATGACGTCGGAGATCGAAAGGGAATGGTAAAAGATGGATGGGGGAAGTCTGACGGAAGTGAAAGCTCTTCTAGCCGAGTCTGACGTAAAATGCATATGTGTTGAATAATAGAATTTCTCTCGGCGGAATATTTATCGCGTATTTTCGAGAAGAAATGAAAACAATGGAAGGAAAAAACGATAAATGTGATTGCGCCGTTTATTAAGGAAAAGTCACTTGACACTCTCATTTATTATCAGCTCCGAACGTATAAATTAATAATTTATACGTTCGGAATAATTTAATGCCAGTTTTGTAATTTTCAACAGACGGATATCTTTATTTCGAAATCGACGAAGTTATTCTTATTCTATAAATTAAGTATAAATTAAGTATATATAAATTAGTATTAGCAGTCGTCAAGAACTCCGTAAAGAATAGTGAATTGTACTCAAAATCTGGATAGATGAACTCGGTGAAATCCTGAGAACGTGGTCGTTTTCAACAAAATCGCAATATTTCGGAATCGACGAAGTTATTCTTATTCTACAAATTAATTAGTATTAGCAAACGTCAAGAACTCCGTAAAGAATAGTGAATTGTACTCAAAATCTGGATAGATAAACTCGATGAAATCCTGAAAACATGGTCG